TGATCACCTAATGTGTCGTCATGGATGACGTCTGAAGCCTCGCAGGTTCAGAAAGTGGTTCGAGTGTCGCTGGGCTTTATGAACATGGATCCCTGCCACATGTGCCACATGTGCACGGTGGAGTTTCACCTGTGACATAGTCGAGCTTGTTTTCTTGGAGAACGGTTTCCCTTTGAGCTGATCTCTCGCAGTTACACAGGATACTCCCGGAGCCGACTGGACTTCTTCGAGTTTGTGAAGACGCTTCATCCGAGAACCTTCTTCAGTTTTAAGACCAAATGGTGGAGAGTCCCACGTATGTAAACCCCAGTGGGAGGGGGGCGTGTCCCAGAGAGGGTTGTTGGCGCACTATTGACTATGTGTCTCATCGCGACGTGAGAGGCCATAAGAAGATTTCATTGGTTGTTTAACAGCTACAGGAAGTCAGAGCTGTGGTGGAGTCATTTTATATATTTAGAGAAAAACTCACACAATGTAGCTGAATTGGCCACAAAGGTCCCAGATGAACCCTTTGATCTTGTCAGCTGCAGCTCTCAGTGATTCGCTGGCTTCGGTCACATGATTCTTCCAGATTAATTCTGTCGACATTTGAATGACTTCAGGAAGTGGCAACTCCTTTCCACCATCTACAGATCCAACCTGACCGTCAGAGAGAACAGGTTACAACAGAATCATTTCTGTTCTTCATCAGTTTGTCAGTGTTAAGGGAAAAACTGCTGCAGTGATAAACCATAAAAGCATGAATGATATGTTTTTAAACCTTTAGTATGTGTTTAGATCTCACTAATGATGATGTAAAAATGAAATAACAGAACCTCACCACCACTTTTCCTTCGAGGATGTGCTGAAACTCACATCCAGACATTTCTTGGATGAGTTTTCGAGCTGATGCTGAGCTGAAGTTAATTTGGTTCTTGACTTCAAATCTTTTTGCTGCTGCTGACAGAATTTCTTCCACGACGTGCTCACGGCTGTTTGTAGAAATCTTCAGCTTCTCTAACAGTTCCTCGGTTTTTTGCTGGGCTTCATTGAGTTCACCTTCTATCTTCTGCAACTTCTCCAGTGATTCAGTGATTTCAGGACAAGACAATGGGGAAGATGATCTGCTTGAAAAAAGCTTAACACATCCTGTCCTGTTATATTTTGGCTTTAGTTCCTTGAGCTCCTCAGACAGGGCTATAAGCTGATCTTTATAGCGGTCCAAAATCTTTATCCTGGAGAAACTGGCCTCCAGCAGCTCGTCAGCAGCAGTGCTCATCATGGAGGTTTCTCTGTCCATCACAGAGCAGGAAAGGACGCCTTCATGGGAGAAACGTTTCACCATCATCATCATCATCATATAAACAGTAATAACTGAGGGCAGTGAGGGTCAAAGGTCAGTCAGCCTGTTTGCTGCTGTGAACACTCTTTATATTTGTTCTTTGCTTTCACCCAGCAGGCTGTGGCTCTGTGCTGGACCCACAGCGGTGCTTTCTTCAAGCTTTCCTTCCTGCGTTTAGATAAACTCCACCCATTTTACCCCTGGAGCACAGCCAGCAGGAGTCACTCGTTTTCAGTGGACATGGTTGA